GACTTTACTTTCAAGGGAAAAGGATGCATCATTTTTAAATAGTATTTTTTGACATTAAGACTCAGGCTTTTTTTGAAGCTGATTTTTTTTTTGTGCTCTGTAAGGGAATTTTTGTTTTTAGTTTGACAAATTTATATATTTATTTTTTAAATTCGTGCATTTAAAGAAATTATATATGTATGTATATATATACACACACATATATATGTAAAATATACCACAAAAAAAATTCAGAAAGAATAACAAGGGAACTCTTAGCTTTTGTAATTCTTCCTTTTGTGGTCTTAAATATAAGCATGAGAAAAGGATAAACTATATATTGACTTAATTTTCAGTTTAGACTACAGCAGGGGGATTTCCAGGAGGTTTTTCAAAACTAGATCATACTAGTGTGTACAGAATCTTTCCTATAAGATTCCCAAAGCTTTTCAGGCACGGGGCTTAGTGTCTGAGCAGCTCTGAAGCCCTGTGGACAAAGCCGGCTTATTGTTCCACAGAAGAGGAGCCACATGTGATTCGGGAGGCACAGAACCAATGTTATGTTCAGTTGGACCTCTGCATGGAACATTGTTACCACACCTCAGTTGATGTTGGTCCAGAATATCACTTGTAATGCTCCCACTCATGTGAAAATCCTCAGAGCCTTTTAATTGCTTTAAAGAACTCATATTCCATGACTCACTCCAAAGATTACGCCACTTGGCTCCCCTGATAATGTAGCTGCCCTACACATTTTCCTTGTGTTTTTGTTGTGCTTTATATTTATATACCTTTGGCTGCATTAGAAATTTTTGTCCATGAAAGGTGAAGAGAGTCTTTTATGCAGAAGATATTTTGATGTTTCATGTTGGCAAGACCTGGTAGGACTTGGGTTTGGATGGGTGCTGATAGAGAAGGAACTTAGGCAATTTCTTTGTAGGGAACCATTCTGTTATTCTATCTGGCAATGATTTCATATCTGCTTGGAAGATCAATTTGCATTTATCAATCAATAGTGGTTGTTTGGCTGGGGGTTGTTGCTCAGTGGTAGAATGCTTGCCTAGCATGTACAGGGCCTTGGGTGTGATCACCAGCACCACAAAAAGCAAAAACAAAAGGCAGTTTGGGAAGAGTTTTGTATCTTGGAGTTCTGTTGTTAGGCAGATCATTAAGACTCCCTGTTAGAATGACTCCTTTGTTATTGTGTTCTGTACCTCTCTGTCCACGGTTCTGCAGTGTATTTTGTCAGGTAATAATATAGCCATTCCAGTTTTCTCATATGTTCACAAGATACATCTTCTATCTTTTTACCTTTAACCTCTATGTGTCTTTACATGTCAAGTATTTTTTTAAAGTAGTGTATAGTTGGATCATGCTTTTTAAAACATATCCAGTGTAGTATTCTGTTTTTAAATTGGTTTATTTATATTTAGTAGTTCCATTAAATGGCTATTTTAAAGTGCACTATTTTGCTTGATTTATATTTGTTCTGTCAGTTCTTTGTTTTCTTTCGTCTTTCTTCTGCGTCTTTTTTTTTGTGGGGGGGTGGGGGGTATCGGGAATGGAACTCAGAACCTTGCACTTGCCAGGTAGGTGCCTATGCCACTGAGCTATATCCCTGGCCCCCTCTGCTGAATATTTTCAATATTTCTACTGAATATTTTTAGAATTCACTTTACACTAAGAGTTTATTGTCTATACATTTAAGATGTTTTTAGTGGTTGTCCTAGAGTATACAACTTTACCCTCAGTCTGCCTTCAAATTTCAAATATTATTTTGCTCCACATATAATGTAAAACCTCTAAGTTTGAATAGTACTCTCCAGATTCACCTCCCTACCCTACCCTTTTGCATTGCTGAGACAATCCAGAGCCTTGAACATACTAGGCTAGTGCTCTACTACTGAGCTATACCCTCAGCCTTCTACAATTCTTTGTGTGATAGTTGTAAAGGATTTTACTTCATACGTGATATTAAAAACAATAATGCATTGCTACAATTCTAGTTGATGCTGTCAATGACATTTTAGAGCATTTAAAAATACGAAAAAATGGATTTAATGTTTACCCTTATACATGCCATTTCCATCATTCTATTTCTTTTTATACATGCTTTTGTCTACTATCATATTCCTTCTGCTGAAGGATGTCTTTTTAACATTTCTTATACTTGAAAGTTTATAGTGAAGGCTTGCTGATAATCCTCTCAAGTTTTTATCTGAAAAAGCCTTTATTTTCAAAAGGCTTTTTTTTTTAACTAGTTTGTTTTCTTTATCTTCTCAATAGTGCTACTCCATTGTCTTCTGACCTGTATAGTTTCTGATGAGAAGTCAGCTGTAATTCTCAGCTTTAGCCTTTGTATCATGTCTCTACCCTACTCCAGCCAATACAGTCTTCCAGACATTTTTGTTTTCAGAAGCTTGAGCATAGTGTCTAAATTTTTTGTTTTACCTTTTCTATTTATCCTATTTGATATTTTCTGAGTATCTTAGATCCATGCTTTAGTCTTTCATTAATTTTTGAGAATTTGGATGTTACTCAATATTTGAACATTATTCAAATATTTCTTCTATCATCTCTTTTCCTCTTGGGATTTCAATTACATGTACAAAAGACTATTTAATATTGTCCCACAGTTTCTCAGTCTATTTAGTGTTATTCACTCTCTCCCTTTTGTTTTAGTTCATTTTATTCTGTTATAACAGAACACCTGAGATTGGGCAGTTTATAAAGAATAGAGATTTATTTCTTACAGTTCTAGAAAATCAGAAGAAGTCCAAGGTCAAGGGTCCTGCAGCTGGTGAGTACCTTCTTGCTGCCTCATCCCAGGGACAAGATGGAAGGGCAAAAGAATGCATGCCTCGAGCACTTTTATAATCAGCATTAGTCCATTGATGAGGGTGAAGCCCTCCGAACCTAAACACTTCCCTTTACATCCTGTCTCCCAACACTGTTGCATTGAGGATCTTCTGACATGAGCTTTTGGGTAGACATACTCAACTCAGCACTTTTTGTATTTCAGGTTGAGTGATTTCTACCTGTCTTAGTTGCTTTTCTTGTTACCAAGACAAAATACCTAACACTCAGAGTTAAAAGAGGAAAGATTTATTTAACTCACAGTTTGTAGAGGTTTCAGTCCATAGTCAGTTGGCTCCGTGGAAGGGTAGCATGGAAGAGGGACATCAGAGAAGATAAACAGTCCATGTTAAAGCAGGGCAAGCAGAAGGCAGTAAATGGCAATTAAATGACAGGGGACCCCACAAACCCTCTTTGGGTCCCTGACATTTTATCTAGGCTACCTGCCCTTAAGGAATTAGCATTCACATGCTGGGTGGGGGACCTTTAGTCCTACTCAGAACTATGCCAAACCAATCTGTGCACTAATTTAGTAACTACACCCTTGACCCTATTTACACACTTAATCCCAGCATCACACACTGTAGATCCAACCATGTGAGGCTTTGGGGGGAGGAGGGAACATCTAAACATAAGCAATAACACTACCTTTTTAAATTTACTATTTCTTTTATCAGATGTATTGTATCTGTTATGAGTCTGCAGAAGGGATTTATCTGTTACTGTGTTAGAACTTTTTAAGTTCCAACATACTCATCTGATGGTTCAGTTTACAACTCTGATGAAAATTTTAATCTGTTTATGTTCATCTTATTTTCTTTTTCCACAGAAGTCTTTAACACATTAATCACAGTTTTAAAATTTTCTTTCTTATAGGCCTAATATCTGGGTCATATCTAAATCTGGTTCTCTTGATTACTTTGTCTCTTGATTGTTTTCCCCCTGGCGTTTTTGGGTATCTCATAATTGTTTGTATCTTGTTTGGAATGGTAGACCCTGAGTTAACCCTGGAAGTGGGTAACTGTACTCCTGTTTTTTGTAAGTCTTTAGTGCAGGTATTGGGTTAATGTAGTAAAGAATTGAACTGTTTGTTTTTTTTCCTGTTGCTACAGCTAATCTGTTCATCACAGATTTTGGTATTTTCTGTTGTTACTTTGTATTGAGGGTGGGCATTGAATTGCCAGAGGGTTTTTCTCCATGTGTCTGTTCCACCTTCACCCCTACACATTAGAGGTTTTTGCCTCTAGCTTTCTGTCTCACCCAGCACTAGGCTGTTATTTGTTACTTGATAGCCTGGTGTGAGGGGAGGATACACCCTTGTGCTGGTTCAACCTCAGTCTTGGGCAAATATCATGTCCCTGCATTTCAGGGATGGTACATTCTTGATAAACCTGTCTCTCTCCAGTGGTAGAAAACCTTTAATAGTCTGGGACCAGGCGATTTCAGGCTCTTCTCCAAAGGCAAAGGAGCTTTTCTTTTTCCATTCCAAGCAGTAGTTGGTCTGAACTGACGCTTCGTAGGTGACCGGGCTTGCTGCCTTTTCCAGTGGGTCAAGCTGTCATTCCATGCGAAAGATGGGGAAAGGATATGGGTGAGGCTTTACGTCTTTTCTGCAGCGATGTCCCTTTCCTCCTCACGCTTCTATCATGAAGAGGCTTTGTTGGTTCTTACCGCTGCCCTTAGTCCTTCTGGAGAGCATTGGGTGAGCTCCCTGGAGAAGAGCCTGCATGTGGGTACAGTTCCCCTTGTTATGTCTCTCGTAGGACTTTTGTGTTCTCATTGTAGTCCACACTAGGCTTTTATCATTACATTTCTAGTGGGGCTCTTCTTGCCAGCTTGTGTGGGTGGGCCCTGGAGCATGTCCCAGGGAAGCAAATGTTATATCCCCTCTTTCCCGGGAGGAGCCTGTCTTTCTTTATATCAGAGGCTGCTTGGTTGTCCTGTGACCTCATCTCTCTGGTGGGCTCTAGGAAGGCTAAGATTTTATCAAATGTGCAGCTTTTCTTTAAGTTTAGGAGTAACACTACAGCTTTCTACATCTCTGGGAATGTTCTTAATTGGCTTTTCAAGGCCTGAGATTTGAGTTTTGCTGTCTCATATAGGTGCAGTTAAAATACTGATTCTCAAATGAGCTAGCATTAAAAGCATGACTTATGTCCTTGCAGAAACTTGGGGACCGTGGCAGCCGTGGGGCCCGTGTAGTGCCACATGCGGGGACGGTGTCAGAGAGCGTCGCCGTGCGTGTCTCACTTCCTTCCCCTCCAGACCTGGCTGCCCTGGAACGACCTTGGAGACTTCCTTGTGTTCGCTGGAGGAGTGTCCTGGTAGGTATTCTTACTTCCTCTGGGAGCCTCTCCTCAGAGCTTACAGCAAAAGGATTACTGAACACAGACTTACCTGAGAAATACCACTCTGAGTTCAGGAGTAGCTTCATTACTGCTCTGTGACTGCTGTTGGTTGTTCCAATCCTGTGTTCTTTAGTGTGTCAAAGACTGGAGGTAGCTGGGAAACCAACTTGGCAGTGAGGTGAAGGCCATTAACGCCAGAAAAGAGGGAAATTGCAGTGACGTGTGTCTAAAGATTCAGACATGTTAAATAATTTTTACAATACAGCGGTGGAGTGGAGAGGAATTATTTCTTCTTCCTAAGATTTGTTTTGTTGTTATTTCTACCTGTACTTACCCACAAAATGGTGGACAGATATTTTTTTCTTAACTCCGCCCCGTCACCCCAAAGAAGCCCAGTGAGACTATATGGACCGTTAATTGTCAAAATGGGGCAAAGCACCCTGTCTTTCCACTTGAGGGGCCTACATTATTCTTTGCCCTCCTCTCCAGCACATCCCACCTCTTGCTGTATAACCCCTGGTTAGTTGGCTGCCTGCTGTGGCCCTGACCCTTAGATAATCTAAAGGCCCTGTTAATTCCTATCTTCTCTCCAATTCCAGATTGAAAGGCCATCCTAGTTCCTTGTCACTTTGAGCTCTGGAGGAGTTTGGTGCTCATCTTTGGATTTCAAAGCATCTTTTAGCTTGCCAAAATGTCAGACACCTGGCAATGTTGCAGTCAATGTTCCTACCTGTGACCTTAGAAGATCTTTCTTGCTGTTTTGTCTTTCTAGCCAGTCCTATAGCCATTATTCCCTTAGTTCTAAAATTTCAGGAACTTTATTTTGTCTTTTGTCTTCTATTGTAGCCTCAGGCTCAGGCTCGACTCCCAGCCCTCAGTCAGCCTGTCTTCTTTCACGCGCGCCAGACCCCACTCTGAGTCCATTCTTTCATCAGTTATACTTGGTAGTGCTTTCTGAGGCTCTCATCTATGTCTGCTGGTTTCTTTGCAAATCCCCTTCACATTTCACAGCTCCTTCTGTGTGCATAACTTCATTCAAATACACCTTTCAATTCTGGGATGGCATGTTGCATTAAGATAGTTCACCCAGAGTTCTATAATACACAAGTGAGTTTAAAATCAATTGCCACTGGCTTCTGATGTCCTTTTAGAACAGAACACTATTAGCCACCAGTTGACCACCTACATGCCAACACTTTAAATATGCTCTGTCATTTAAATCTCACACTGATTCTACAACGTAGGTATTATTATGCTGGGCTCAGGTCTTGAGCATTTTTGTAAATACCTTGCACTTATGAAGTAGATATAGCTGACCTTCCATACCTGTAAGTTTTGCATTTAACCAACCATGGATAAAAGATACCCAGACAAAATGTGTTTCTATGTTGAATGTGCATGACTTTTTTCCTATCATTATTCTGTAAACAGGGTATAACAGTTACATAGCATTTACATTGTACTAGGTACTAAAAGTAACGTAGAAATGAACTCAGGATTTGGCAGGGTGTGTGTAGGGTACTGTGCAAATACTGTGTTATTGTATAGAAGGACCTTGAGTATAGGGCTCCTAGAACCAAACCTCAGAAGATACCAAGGGGTACAAGGGATACATGTGTACTGTTGTCTCCATGATACAGGCAGGACTCTGGGGCAGGGGAGGCAGATGGCCTGGCCAAGGTCATGCAGTGAGGAATTAGGTCTGCAGTGATGGTGAACCTTTTAGAAACTGAGTGCCCAAACAACAACCAAAAATCCACTTAGTATTGCAAAGTTCCAGCACAGCAATTAGACCTGAATACTGGGATTTTAGTATAGAAAAAACAACTGTTATCTGATGTCGGCCGCTGGGGCGACTTGGCTCATACGCTGACAGAGAAGGCTGTGTGTGTCCTCTGTGGCACGCATGCCATAGGTTCGCCACCACTGAATTAGGGGAACTGGAGCTGGCTTTGTTCTAAGCTGCTTGTCTTGAGTGCTTTGCCTTTATGCTGGGTTTCTAGGAGAGGCATCTACAACTGGAATTAGCAGTCATTTCTGAGGAAATGTGATCATATTTCACAATGTGGGATTTTAATCCTTTAATGCTGGGTGGGATCTGGAAACATAAATTATTAATGAGCAAGAAAGTAAGTGCTGAAGACACCCCTGCTTTTACTCTAAGTGGGCCTCAGATAAATGCTTAAGTAGGTAAAAATGATCTTTTCTTCCAAGTCTTCCCTTTTTTCCTATTCCACCTATTTTCCATTCCTCGGAGATGTAAAGATCTATGCATCTGCTGCTTAACATCAGGGAATGAACAAGCAAAGACCAGATGAGGCAGAGATGGGTCAGGCTGGCAGGTATTGGGTTTTTCTCCAGCTATGGTTTTTTGTAGAGCCAGCTAGAATAAAAAGAGAACAGAGGTGCGAGAACAGCTCTTGACGTGTGATAGCAGCGCTGCTACCCACTGTCATCAGCACCACCACAGATAAAAGAAGTGATAAATCAGGGTCTAGTCTTTCAGCATGCAACTGTTTTCACTTGGTTAAGAGTTCAGAGTTTTGTTTGGCTTTAGAAGAATGCTTTTATGGCCAAGTTCTGAGTGTAGCTCTGTATTAATTTTGTCTCTGTTCAACATGAGAGTGGAAAAATCCAATTTCTATGGTATCCATGTTTGACCAGGTGGAATATTGATCATTTTGATATTATATTTTAAAATAAAGAATGAATCAATTAACTAGACTAATGTTTATTGAGTACCAACTATGTGCAAGTTACTATGACGGATTGGGAATATATTGATAAGACATGTCCTTGACCGGAAGGGGCTTATGATATAGTAGCCCAGAAAGTGCAAACACAGGTATAATGCACTGTACAGTGTAGGGCCCGAAGCAATAAAGTTTTCGACAGCTTGGTACAGAAGCTCGCTGTGGTGATATCCATGCTGGAAATATCTCCAGTCTTGGAGCAGGTGGTTTTTGAGCTGAAGTTTAAGAGGTGAGAAGGTGCCACCCCAGTGAAGGAGGTAAGCGAAGGGTGCAGTGAATGACTTGGAAGAAGAAGGCACAGAACTAGATCTGGAGAACTGTAAGTAATTCACTGTAGCTTGAGAATGGAGTGCCAGGAGGGGTGGGAAAACCAGGCTAAGACAGATTGTCAGGGACCAGACTCTGAGGGGCCTTGAAGGTTTGGATAAATGTTCTAGTCTGATCTCTGGCTGTACATGTAGAGTGCAAGGTGGAAGAGTAGACATGGCAGAGAGAAGCTATTGAGTTTTGGAGTAACACATATGAAAAATAAACCACTGGCAGTGGGGCCGCAGGAAGGGAAGGATGCAGAGACTCTGGACTTGGTGGCAGTGGCGAGACAGGCAAGAAGGAGGAAAGCCCGCCTTCTGTACCAGCCGCTGCATGAACTGCAGTCCCCCTGCCCCGGGACTGGGGGTATCTGAGGAGGCACAGGTTCCAGGGGAAGATGACGAGTCTTGGGCTTGATGAGATGGAGGTCGTTGAGGCACATCTCCCCGCCTTCAAAGCTCATGTGCTTCTCTCTAAATTACTTGGGTCTCGACACTGAAATCAAGAGGGAGAGAGAGCTTCAGGAGGCATCTCATGCATGCCAGCGCTGCAGGATATTCAGCTATTAGGAAGTCATTAATGACCTCGGCGGGAGCTATTTCATTGGGATCCTGGGGGCAGTTGGCAGTAAACATCAGTGATGACGTGGGAGCAATGTGTCAGCAAATGTGGGCTCCTCTTATAAACATGCCTGGGAGAACAAGGAGTGAGATCTGGATTATGGCACTGTGAGAAGGCTGCAGAAGGTATTTTTTTTATTTTGAACTGTTTGCTGCTGGGGATTAAACCTGGGCCTTTGCATGGAGTCACAACTCCCAGCCATGCCCCCTGTTTTTCTTTTTGTTTTTTTAAAAATAGGGTCTTGCTAAGTCACTATACTGCCCAGTTTGGGCTTGCATTTGTATGATACTGCCTCAGTCTCCTACATGCTGGGATCATAGGTGTGCTGCACCAATCCTGGCTGAGAAGGTTTTTTTTAAAGTGAAAAGAGCTGAAACATGTTTCTATGCTGGGGTGAAGGAGCAACAGAGAGGAGAAGCTGGGATAATTAGGACAGAGGGATGATCCGTTGGAGAAGGGTGAGCATGAGTTGTTTGCCTTTTCACGGGGGAAACTTGTCCCCCTGATTGTGTGAGACTCAGCTAAACGGAGGCGGGGCTGCTGCTAAGTTTGTCGGGGGAAGGTTGCAGCAGAAGGTGGGGGGCGTAGTTTTCTGATGGCTTTTTTTGTATGAGTGTGTGTGACCTACCAGATTGCTAGGGAAGCAGACTGGGTAGGGTGCTTAAGGAATTGCTGAAATTGAAAGCAGGCATTTTAGGCAACAGAAGAGAATTCACCTGCGTGGCCAGTCCTTTGGTGGCTTCCCTCACTTTGTTTAGAGACAAAGCTCAGGATTAGAGAGAGTTGAGGTGCTGAGAAGAAAATGGGTTCAGTGATGGACGATAGATGAGTTGTTTATGGACAGAGGTAAGGCTGGGAGGCAGCTGGCAGATTCAGAGAAAAAGCAGGGTTGGAGAATCTCAGCGAGGCTGAACTATACTGGAAGGGAGCCAGACAGTGAGCTGTGAAGGGTGGACCTTCAGAAGAGGGGCTGCTGCAGACCCTGGCAAGGTAGTGCAAAGTGGACTGAGGGACTCAGCTGACCGGGCTGGCCCTAGCTGTGGGGTGGTGAGGAAGGCTGGGGCCCAGGTTCTGTGGTGACTGACAGATGTCAGGAGTTTGGGAAACAGCAGTGTTGGAGGAGGAGCAGAGTAGTCTAAGCCAGGCATGGTGGCACATGCCTATAATCACAGCATTCTGGGAAGTTCAAATAAGAGGACCTCAAATTCAAGCCCAGCCCGGGCAACTTAGCGATGTAGCAAGATCAGTATTAAAAAAAAAAGTCAAGAGGACCAGGGATGTAGCTCCTAGCAAAGGCCCTGGGTTTAATCCCTAGTACTACACACACACACACACACTCACATACATACCCCCACAGTGGTGTAGGCAGGCATCAAAGGAGCAGAAGCCTCATGTGGAGGGGAAGGTGTGGTGGTTGAGTATGGCTGTGGGAGTGGTTGGGAACACACCCTGGTGCTGACCCTGGTTGCTCCTGGAAAAGTATATGTGGCAGCATTTACCAGGAGGGGTCAGGGGACCCAAGGGCTCCTTTGTGGAAAAGCCGGAGATGTGGAGTTTGTTCTCAGGTGTCCCCTGGGGTGGAGCAGAAAGGTGTGAGGGAGGCTGCCAAAGGACTGGCCATGCAGGTGAACCACCAGGCTGCTGGTGATTGGACCTAGCCCTTGGCGCCTGCAAGGGCTTGAATGGTGTACAGAGAGCAACGGGGAAAGAGGGGTGAAGCCAGGTGACATTAGCTGACCTCAGGTATTTCGGTGGTAATAAAGGCGGAGGCTTCAGGTGGCATCTGCATCTCGATGACTCATTTTGCGTGTGTGCTGTCAAAGCCGGTGCTTGATGAGTCATTTTGAAGACTGCAGGGTAAACCCGTCTGAGAGCAGGGAAGATGAGGCAAAATTAACACCACTCAGAAGGTGGGAAGGGGAGTGGACAGCTGAAAATAGAAGAGTGAGAAAGCAGAGGCTTTGGTGCTTAGAAAGGTGGCTCCTGGCTTGCAAGAAGTTGTATTTTATTACCGGCAATCTATTCGCATCAGGTTAACTGATGTGTAAATTTGGGCATAACCAACCTAAATCACTTTGCATTTGGAGTTTTATAACTTGGTAAGAATTTTCCCATACGTCTCTCACAGGCACACGTAACTGCAGACGTCCTGTGGGTAAATTCTGAAATGTGAAAACCTTGGATTTTACCTTGACATTTTTACACACTGCTTCCATGTAGAAAGTTCCAGAAGAGACTCAGCAGGGTGCTGAGCACAGGAGTCTCTTTGTGGCTCTGCTGGCTGTCTCCTGGGGTGTGTCCCAGATTTTTCAGTGTTTCCTCTGTACTGGAGACTTTATTTGGCTGCAGCTGTCCGGAGAAAGCCATTTATAAGAACAGAAATCCCAGTCCTTGTCTCTTTTCCTCCTTCCTTTAACTGTTACACTGATTAGAACAAGGAAGCCCAAGGCCCTAAAACTTTGCAGAGAAATCGGTACAAAAGAAAACATTTGTTCCTCTTCTCCTTTTTTCTTTCTTGTTGATTTTATTGGTACATTTTAATGATGATCACATCCCTCAGGGAATTGGTATCAGTACGTAATATATCTTGAGTCTTCTTGTGTCCTCAATCCCTCCCCCAATCCCCTCTTCCCCACCTTATTTACAGAAGCTTTGTTTCCATTTTTTCCCTTCTATTCTTTTTCTTCTTTTCCCTTACTTCTTTTCTCTGTCCTTCTCCCTTGTTCTCCTTCCCACTTGAACATTTTCTTCTCATTCCCCAATATCTACTGTCCACTTTGGGACGCAGCTATTCTCCTTCTTGGTATCTTCCCAGAAGAGTTGAAAGCATCATTCCACAGTGATAGACGCACATCCATGTTGATAGCAGCACAATTTGTAATAACTAAATCTTGGAAAAAGTACATATGCCCCTCAGCAGATGAATGGATAAAGAAGATGTGGTTTTTTTATACAATAGAGTATTACTCAGCCATAAAGAGGGATAAACGAGGCATTTGCTGGTAGATGGATGCACCTTGATACCATACTCTTAAGTGAATAAATCAGACACGCGTGTAAATACCGCCTGTCCTTTCTCTCTTTGTAGCCATCCAGCCATCCAGCCCATCTTCTCTTCCACCAGAGGGTCCCGTGAAGTCCAACAACATCGTGACTGTCACAGGGATATCTCTGTGCTTGTTCGTCATTGTGGCCACCGTACTCATCACGCTGTGGCGGAGGTTTGGCCGGCCCCCAAAGTGCAGCACCCCTGCTCGACACAACTCCATCCATTCCCCTGGCTTCCGGAAGAACTCGGATGAGGAGGACATCTGTGAACTGAACGAGCAGCGTGGGAGCTTCTCTGATGGGGGTGACGGGCCCGGGGGGAGCCCAGGGGACACTGGCATCCCTCTGACCTACAGGTGCAGCGGGCCGGTGACTCCTGAGGATGATGCGTCTGGCAGTGAGAGCTTTCAGTCTAATGCACAGAAGATCATCCCCCCTCTGTTCAGCTACCGCCTTGCCCAGCAGCAGTTGAAGGAGATGAAGAAGAAAGGTCTGACAGAAACCACCAAAGTGTACCACGTGTCTCAGAGTCCCCTGACAGACACTGCCATTGACGCTGCAGCTAGCCCCCCCTTAGACTTGGAAAGCCCAGAAGAAGCAGCGGCAGCAGCAGCAGCAGCAAACAAGTTCCGGATCAAATCCCCATTTTTGGACCCACCTGTGGTGAATGCCGGGGAAAGGCCCCCTTCCAGGCTGGATTTCAGCATGTCTCAGGCCAGCTGTGCCGTCAGCCCCAGCCAGACCCTGATGCGCAAGTCGCAGCTGAGGCACATGGCAGGCAGGGGGGCCTCTTCTGAGAGGAACCATACCAGGAATTCCCACTTCAGGAGAACAGCCAGTTTCCATGAAATCAAACAGGCCCGGCCATTCCGGGAGAGAAGCATGTCCACTCTGACCCCACGGCAAGCCCCCACCTACAGTTCTAGGACTCGGACCTGGGACCAGGCAGAGGACAAGTTTAGGCCTCCAAGTCGAGGTGCCCACCTGGTTCCCGAAAAACTGGAATATTACCAAGGAGCAGGTGGAACCTGTGGTCCATTAAGCCCTGTCCCTAAATCCTACACCATGGGGCAGCCCACCAGGAAACAAGACCTGGCCGATCGTCAGGCAGGGTTAATGGCAGGAGCTGAGAGAACAGAGCCTCACAGAGCTCGGAGGGGACCATCCCCCAGTCACAGGAGCATCTCAAGGAAGCAGTCTTCCCCCACCTGTCCCAAAGATAGTTACCAGAGGGGCAGTCCACTGAGCCCTTCTCAGTGTAGAAAAGACAAGTGTCAGAGCTTCCCCGCGCATCCTGAGTTTGCCTTCTATGACAACACGTCATTTGGCCTTTCTGAGGCCGAGCAGAGGATGCTGGATCTCCCAGGATATTTTGGGTCAAATGAAGAGGATGAAACCACAAGTACACTTAGTGTGGAGAAGCTGGTAATCTAGACCAAGAATCTGCCTGAGATTTTTCATGACTGGGGTCCCTTGCCTAGGTTGTGATAATCCGCTGTTCACATTGTTCCCTGGACTTTTGTATAACTGCTTGTACAAACTCTTGTAGGAGTGAATACAGGGAGGAAGAAGATCACACAGAGGAGGATATGTGTGTGTATACACATGTTTTAATTATTAAGAAGAAATTATTTATCCTGAACTTTCCTTTTGTTACCCTATTTCTATTGACTTATTACTAATAACAATAATAAAATTTAAATAAAAGCAAATAGGACTTGGTCTGTCGCGTGAATAAGAAAGATGACAAGATGTGAGTATGATGTACTTTGAACCCTGCCCTGACAGCTTCCCACTTAAAGCAGAAATCTAGAAGCCTCAAATACTAAAGGCTGCAGTAGAGTTAACTTGGTATCACAATTCTGAATTGTAGTTTTTAAAATTATAAATGCATAAACATTTGAATCCTATAGGGGTAGCATTGAATAGGTTTCATAGTTTGGCTGATTAAATTAATTACAACCATTGGCCCACTAAGCTACCTAGAAATGGTGATCCCACAAGATAATCCAGAAGAACTTTCAGGCCAGCATTAGGTGCAGTCTTAAATGTTTTTTAATGTAATGAGTCCACATGACTTGACATAATTATGTGAATTAATTTTGCTTAGATAATGTAAGAATGTGATTGTAAGAGTCTCTCAGTTGGTAAATCAAGAGAAGACTTTGCCATCATTGTGCTATGAAGATAGCAGACATTTTTTTTATTTTAAAAATAAAAGGAGGAAAACATTAACAGACAGACAGCCTTTTACAAAATAGCAAAAGAATAGTACAGACAATACAGAGTTACAAAGTGGTAGGAAATTAACAGTGCTTGTTGTATTACATATTGATATCTTCAAAGTGGTTTCTCATGAAAACAGATATAGACATGCAATATTGATCAATCAAGGACTCATTGACAGTTTCAGCAAAGAAATAGAAGACAGTAGAACAACTATGTTAACTATCCTGTATATACATACATACATAATTTCTCCTTCTTTCCCTTCTCTTTTCCCACATCCCAGTTGCCCTTTACCCTTGAGTGTTTTCCTATCATTTCACAATGTTTATCATACCTCTGAGTTTAAATTAACTCTTTCAGGTTTTACACTAGTGAAACAATGCAGTGCTTGCACATGCGGGTCTGATTTATTTCACTTATGAGTATGGTCTCTAGTTGTGACCATTTACCTATAAAGGCCTCAAGTTTATCTTTCTTTATAGCTGTGTAATATTCCATTATATAAAAGTACCACAATTTTCTTACCCAATCCTCAGTGGATGGACATTTGGGTTGCTTCCACAATTTAGCAATTACAAATTGTGCTACTATGAACATAGGTGCACATATATCACTGTGATATGATGTTTTTAGATCTTCTGGGAAAATACATTTGAATACAGTTCTTTCAAGTTTTCTCCAGTAGCAGAAGGGGGATAGCTGGGTTGAATGGGACCTCTAGACCTAGTTTTCGGAGGAATCTCCAGACTGATTTCCACAGTGGTTTCACCAGTGGATAGCAGACAGTTTGGAAAGGAAGGTATCTTGTGAAAGCATCTGCTGGGAGATGGGCAGTGGGTGCTGACACCAGGGTGTTGGTTGTGAGTTCCCAGAAACTGCAGCGGAGACCTAAGAGGTGCACTGGTGAATGTGTGTATTTAAGCATAACCTTATTATATTATTAAGAAAATGCATGAATCAATCTCAAGTATACAAAAAGCAGACAGACCATTTTATGATTTTACAGTTTAAGCTTTTTTTTAAACCTAGAAAGTTAAAAAGGTAAAGAGGGAAGAAATCTTTTTAGCAGTTTAAAATCACTTTTGTGTATGTATTCAAGATCCCTATCGCACTTTATAGATGAGGAATTCGTTAACCTGATTCACTAGGACATGGACTGACACTTTATTTTTTTGTTTGTTTGTTTGTTTGCTGGTACTGGGAACCGAACTCACGACCTCGCACTTGCCAGGCAGGCGCTGTGCCGCTAAGCTAAATCCCAGCCCCCTGGACTGACACTTTAAACATCGTACTCTTTTCACTCTGCCAGTACAGTTTTTTCAAGTTTTCTCCAAGAGCAGAAGTTTCATGAGAAAGTGGGCCCTTTTTTGCAGTAAGAGGGCAAAACGTGACAGTTCTGCCAGCTTTTCCCTGAGGAGAGGTGAGGACTGGCTTTGTGGCTTGCTTTGTTTAGAAGTAAGGGTGACACACAAGAATCTAAAGGTGGGGCTTCTTTGTGGAGGCGTGTCATCGGGCACTGCCTAATCAGCAGCCACTTGGGTAGAGTCCTTCCTTGTTCACTGTGACCTCCCTTACCCACACCCATCCTGCCTTCTATGTTGTCTTCCTTCTGTTATGCTTTATCAAAATGTCAGTCTGCTGGTCAGGTTTCCAGTTCACCGAAGAGTGGAATTAGATTGGGAAAAAAAATTTAAATGCAAATACTGAAGTTTCAAAAGTTCCATATTTGTTGCATTGCTTCTTTGTGCCATTTTTATTGAACATTAAAATGTGGTTCAGGAATGCTTTGATAATAACTATCTACCTTTTAGGAATGGGATAGATTTTTTCAAGGCTGTCTGACAACTGCTATGTACTGATATTAAGAGGAGGAAGCCAGGATTTTTAATCTCCATTTTCATTGTTTATAATTCTAGAAAGCTTTGTTCTTTTTCCAAGTTCACAAGCCTGCATGCCAACCTTTGAATATGTGTTCACTCATTCCAGATTTCACAGTGAATTACTCATGGTGTCAGACTGAGACCAAAACAGCTTTGGAAGACATGGAAGTTAGAGGGAAATACTCTGAACAGAAAGATTTTTCTGTTAAATTATGCTAATTTTTACTATAGCCTACATCTAAATATCACAGTGAGCCAAGATCAGCATAGGACCAGTTCACCATTTGCCTAGCTTGGTTTTCTTGGGCTCAGGCCCGTGGTCATTCTCTGCACTTCAAAATAAAACTAATTTGACCTCTGTCTTTGTGCAAGAGAAAAGAGGGTGCTTCAGCGTTGTCTTTGGTAGGTAAGTGGTAAATTTCAGTGGAAATAATCTTTTGTTTTCCACCATCATGTCCCTAGGGCTAGCCCTAGATAACTGCTATAGAATGGGGCTCAACAAAGACTTATTAAATAATTGACCAGCTACTCAAAAGCCTCAAGCCATATTTATGATTGAATTAGAATAATTCTATGTAGCACTTTTAAATCTTAAATCATTATAAAGGGGATAGTTGCCTACGTGATACTGTGGGATTTTAATTTCTAGAGGTTTCCACAAATGAAAAGATTCTTATCTTTTTGGACTGTTACCCTGATTCTATGTAACACTTGAAATCTTAAACTAGTATAAGAGGGTTGTATTCCTATGAGCTGTGGGATTTAAATTTGTAGAAGTGTCCACGAATGAAAGGATCCTTGTCTTTTGGGGTTCTTTCCCTGGCAGAAGATAGAGTTGTCTCTAGAATTTACTGCAGTCTTTGGTATACCGTAGTCACTTGGTAAGTGTGTTTATCAGCTTTCTGTCACTATATAAAATAACAGATAATCAACTTTTAAAAAGAGACAGGTGGTTTTGGCTCACAGGTTTGGGGCAGTGCATTACTGAAAGAACATGTGACAAAACCACCACCTCATGAACAGGACACAAAAGAGAGGGTGGGGCTAGGTCCCAATATTCCCTCCAAGAACACAACACACCAGTGACCTGACATCCTCCCTCAACCTCTGCCTCTTAAAATTTCCACTGCTTCCCAAGAGCACCACAGATTGAGAGCCAAGTCTTTAGCACATGGATTTTGGGGGGACGTTTATCCCAACCATAGCAATAGGTGCTGAATGTGTATGACAGTGGCCTCCAAGTAGCTGGGGTGTTCTGCCCTCCTAGAAGTTCCTACCATTCACTTTACTGCTGTAGAACCCAGCACACCTGTCTGAAGCAAGTGTTCCCCAGTTGTGGCTTCTAGTTAAGTGGGTTTGCTAAAGTGAGGAGTTCTCAGTGTGCCAAACTCTAGCCATCACTATTGAATAATAATTTAACCCTTCCCACAACTTTCCCTCCTCAGTCGCTACTCAACCCAAACCTGCCGTATAAAATATATAAAACTCCTGTTTCATGACTGACAATTTATCATGCTGTATGTGGACCTATAAAATGAAATCACAGTTTTTAGTCTGGGAAGTTTCAGATCTTTTAAACAATTTTTGAAATTTAATTTAATTAATTAATTTGTTTTTTGGTGTTTGAAATAGGGTTACGCTGTGTAGTTTAGTGGGCTTTGAACTCACTGTGTGGCCCAGGCTGACCCCACACTCAAGGCAGTCCTCCTGCCTCAGCCTCCCAAGTGCTGGGATTATACACATGCACCACCAAGGTTGGCTTCAAATCATTTTTAATACATAAAGCACAGCATGTTTAAGTTCATAGTATTATGCAAGACATTATTTTACCAGGTCATACCAGCTGAGTGATGACCTAAACAAAAAGAAGTAGTTTGGTATCATTAAAAGAAATAATCCTGGTCTTTCCTTTCTACCAGTGTGATTTTAAGTAAATCTCTTAATCATATGAGTCTCTATTTCCTAAATCTAATGGTAATAATAATAATTACTACATTTGCTACTGGCTGAAGATGAACCAGTGAACACAAATACTTGTTTTCCTCTTTCCTCAGGCTCAAAATTATAGCAAAGGAACACAAAAAGTATACCAAATACAGTTTACAGAACAAGAGGATAGGTAGTTTGAACAAATTTTTGGAAGATAGAGTGCATAGAACACTGAGCAAAGAAGTGTTAGCTAGGATGTGCTCAGAGTCTTGCTGATAAGAAGGGAAACTCATCTTGTGATAGAACATCGCAGGATTTTGAGACTCATAGAAGTTACTGAGTGAAGACAGAGACAGTGAGGAGCTGTCTAGGGAATGGTCATTGATGGGTTTTCCCCTTTAATAAAAATTCTGCTAAGTCATCATGTTGGTGAGCCAGTATGGCACAGCCCACTGGAGGCCATGTGGCAGGCTCTGCCTTCCTCCTTCCCAATCATATTACAACTTCCTACTTCCTTTTTTACAACATCCTATTTCCCTCTTTCTGCCCCCTGTCCAATCACTGCCTGCCAAGTTGCACAGACCATCCCCTAAACCCCACCCCCAGCCTGGTCCTACACAGCCTTTATTCCCCTGGCCAGGCCCTCAGAAGCTCCACGTCCCTCTTTTCTGCTG